GATAACCCAGCTCTGAAGGACTGCTGGCCTCCTCCTCTCGGAGCCAGTGGGCAAGGGGTAAGTGAGCAAACGTCTCCTATTATTTCTGCTGCCGCAAGACAATTCTGCACTACTCAAAACTAAAATGGCACAATCCAACCTGTTTTCAGACCTTGAGGTCTACTGCCAAATGACGGCAAAACAGAATTGCATAATGAAAAAAAACATTACAAAAAAGTAAAAAAAAAAAAAAGCTTAAGAAAAGCAAAACAAAGCAAAAGAGTAAATTTGGAAAAAAAATAATTTCTTACAGTGAATCTGGATCCGGGTCAATAAACGGCGTAGCACCAAATGGATCGATGTTTGCTAGCAACATTTTGCTAATAATTGAACTTCCTGCAATAGAAGCAGCTAGACCAGCCCTCAAACCTGATGGAAAAAAACGGAAAAAAACCCAAAAAAACCAATTTGTATTTGATAAATAGAGAAACATATATTGTCATAATATAAGCTGCATACTGAGAGACAAAATATTCATTAAATCTGTATAGGGAATGATTGTGTTTCTATCTCAGTTTTTACCTATATTGGTTATCCTTCCAGGTCTCTGGCTCTCTTGAGCAGAAAGGCAGATACACTGCAGTGCAGTGGCTGACTCTTCAGTTACCACCATTGAGAAAGAAGAAAACAAAGAAAATTCAGGATTTCAGGCCAACGCTCACTGGCTGGCATAGTAACCAACGGGGTGACCTAACATCCAAAAAGACTACTAGAGCTTTTTATTTAGTTTAATCTTCACCTCCAAACTGTACTTGATTTTCCTTGGTCCTTTCCTTTGGAAATACTCCTAAGGAATACCCTCACCTTTTTTATAACTGGAAGAGTCATAGTTTAACTTAACTTAATTTGTGGAAAGGTGACAGCCTTGCCATACCTACCTTGACTAATACCGAAGTCACTCTGCAAAACACTGTGTAATGCATGTAAACAAAGAAAACTTTCTAAAAGCTTTCACTTAAATTGACCTAAAGAAAAATGTAAGCTCAGTTCCATTATGTTTTAATTATACTAATGAAGTTAATTAAAACAGTGTTTTACTGGTGCCCCCTAGTATTAATTGCATTTGGATAAGAACAGATTTTTTTTTCAACTCTTTTTACTGCACAGCAGCTTTGAGTAGTTTCAGTTACCCATTTCCTGAGAGGTATCTACAGACACCTCTTATTCAGAGGGTTGAACTTCAGACGGCTCTGTCCCTCAGCCCCTTCATAGCCTCCACTGATTAGGATGAATGATAGAAGGATTTCGATGTACAGGTGGGTGAAAAATTGGACATGAGCCGACAATGTGCGCTTGCAGCCCAGAAAGCCCGTCGTATCCTGGGCTGCATCAAAAGAAGCGTGGCCAGCAGGTCGAGGGAGGTGATTCTGCCCCTCTACTCTGCTCTGGTGAGACCCCACCTGGAGTACTGCGTCCAGCTCTGGAGCCCTCAGCACAAGAAAGACACGGACCTGTTGGAGCGGGTCCAGAGGAGGGCCATGAAAATGGTGAGGGGGCTGGAGCATCTCTCCTATGAAGAAAGGCTGAGAGAGTTGGGGTTGTTCAGCCTCGAGAAGAGAAGGCTCTGGGGAGACTTTATTGTGACGTTTCAAAATATAGAGGGGGCTTATAAGAAAGACTGAGAGACTTTTCACCAGGACCTGTAGTGACAGGACAAGGGGCAACGGTTTTAAACTGAAAGAGGGTAGGTTTAGATTGGACATAAGGAAGAAATGTTTTACGATGAGGGTGGTGAGACACTGGCACAGGTTGCCCAGAGAAGTTGTGGATGTCCCATCATTGGAAGTGTTCAAGGTCAGGTTGGAGGGGGCTGTGAGCAACCTGATCTAGTAAAATATGTCCGTGCACATGGCAGAGGGTTGGACTAGATGATCTTTAGAGGTACCTTCTGACCCAAACCACTCTCTGATTCTATGATTCTAAGATCCTGAATTTCATTTTTCATCCTCCAGAATCAAATGCAACACTTCTGCTACATCTGATGTTGTGCCAAACGATCAGGAATCTTCTATGTTATTTTGCATTTCCTACTATATGATACCACACAAAGATGTGTATGTTGGTTCAAACAAATTCAGGGCTCCTGGCATGAAATAAAAATCGCTGTTTGACAGCAAGCAGGGGAACAGAAGGCAATATTAAAGTAGTGTAAGGAACAGCAGATTTCAAAATCGTAATTACCTGGGCAGATAATCCTAGTGTTAAGCACTGGGAGGTTTTCCTTGCTTGCAGCCAAAGCTGGAGCAGAGAAAGAGCCTGTCTGAGAATGGATACTTCGGCTTGTACGTCGATCTGGAGACCTTGGTGCAGTTTTCACTGTGCAGAAGAAGTAAAAGTAAGAGCACTAATTAGACCTATTACGACATTACCAAATATGTAGTTTTTACAGCCCTGAAAATGTTTCAAAACATTAATTTAATCTGTTACCACTCCGTGACAAATGCCCTTCCCCCTCACACCACAGTTTTTCTTCTAAATACAGGGAGGAAAACTCAGAAACAGATCAAGTGACCAGCACAAATTAAAATGAACAAGGATGCATGGCATTCAATGTGACAAGTTCCCAAATTACGCTTCAAGCTACTAGCAAAAACTGAATTATATCCACCTTAAAATGCAATAGTATTTAATGCTCTAGTAGGCTTCTGACAAGCATGTTAATCAAGTAATACAAATTTAAACTTAAATTCAACATATATTTACTTATAAATATACCTATATTATATAGTTCATTATTATTTATAACAATTTTAATATAGATAGCTATTCTAAGCGATAGGCCATGGAAATACCTGATCAACAGCCATGCTATTTGCTTCAAGCAGCTAAAATGGACCCCCTGCCTGCTTCAGGTTTCTGAAAACGTCAGACAAAACTCTGACATCTTTATCTACAGCTGACCTGAAAACTGCAAGGGAAGGGAAAGCCATGTTCAGACATTCTTGTCTTCTGCAATTAGAGAGATCATGGGGGAGATCGGTTTACCGTCATCTTTTCTTTTTCACAAAAAAAACAGCAATTGCCAAAATAATTGGAATAACTTATTTGTTAAAATTTTCCAGAAGATGGATCAATAAAACCTTGTGACAGATAGCCAAGTTTGGTAGCTGCTCAAATTGTTGGTGGCAAAGGCAGGTAATGGCTCCGGAAAAAGGAGGAGAAGAAAATCAAGGGCAAAGAGAAGATGCTCACAAAGAGGAACTGGTAGCTCAGTGAGGCCAGTTATCCCTGGGGCTGCCTCTGGAGGTGATGAAGAAGGATAGGCTTTTCAGAGGGCAGACCTCAGGTGTTGTAATTTACTTTCCTGGCAGAACTTGTTTCGTGCAGACTGAGAGAATATGCCAGTGCCTGCTGTAGCCTGGGAATTTCTTTGTGAAATTCAGCCCTGTCAGACATAGCCAGAAATCAGTGCCACAGGGAAGAAAGTTTGGGTATTACCAAATGCTTAGCTATAGCATTTCCATGTGCATGTAGAAAGCTTTTGCACACCAAATGATCATAGACATTTCTTGGCTACCTCTGCTCCAAATTATCTCACATGTTAAAACTACTTCAGCTTAGGACAACTTCGACCGTGACCATCTGAAGAAGCTCAGAACAAAAAATGAAATTACTTCGAAGTGATCTGATATATTCCTCTCAAAACCTGAAAACTAATTCAGCAAAAATAGAATGATTAGGACTAGCACCAAGAAAGCAGAAGAAAAACACCACCAGGAATGTGGTGGGAAGGATAAAATATTTTTTGTGGCCCTTTTTTGTGGCCGGAGGGGGACAGATCAGTTCACGTCAAACATAACTCAGCTTGAGAGAAACGTGGGTGTACTGTATGAAGACATGAATGGAAAGAAAATACAGAGTGGGAAAATCTAGAGACAAAGGTAATAACAAGAACCAGGGTTTAGAAACTGTGTCCAAATCAATTTAGGCCAGGATTTGGGCATTCACTTTTTTTTAACTGATGATAATCTAGCATGGAACAGTCAATGAAATGGCAAATTCTTCATCCTCTTGTATCCCAGGAGTAAGATTACACATCCTTCTGGGTGACTTGCTTAAGTCAGACAGAAATTATTAGATGCAGGACAGGGATAAGTGGGTGAAATTTTCTGGACTGTTTTCTATGAAAGGTCTGACCAAGTGGACTAACAGCTCCTTCTGACTTTAATATCTGTATTAACAGCCTTAGCAATTATCACAAAATGCTACAGTATTGCATGATAACAATACAACACAATGATTTGTATCCGTGCACGACAAAACACTGTAATATAAAGTTAAAAAATTAAAAAAAATAAAAACTGCAAATGATATCTAACAAGAGTTTTTAAATATTTAGATGAAGGTAATTAACATATGGAAAAATATTATCTTCATCAAATGACCAGGAAGATCCTTAGAGGGTAAAATATAATATTCAAAACAAAATTAACATTCATTTTTCATAATGCTACCGAAAAATTCACAATGCTATTCACACAGTCTGTTCTCTCTGTACTTGGGAACAAGGCAGTTATATTAAATAGGAAAATCAACAGAGCAGCTGCTCTTTATTTGACAGATGAGACTCATGGGGATAACTGCAATACAGATAAACTTTTGCTGTTCATGCTCTGATAAAAACAACAGAGCCCTAATGAGTAAAACTGATGTTTCACTGCAGATAATTGAATTCATGTTTCATGCTTTCTCCCTAAACACCTATCTTCCACTGACAGCATTAATATGCACTCTATTTCACACATATCAGATGTATGAAGAATAATACAGCTCCACAATAAACACAGAAATTTTATCACCAAGAAACAAGGGGTTTATATAAATTTATACATATGGATATACGTATGTGTATATTTTTATTTTATTATATATTTATGGCAGTAGGACCAGGTCATCCATAGAGCCAGCAAACTCTATGAATTACTATTGAAACTAGACAACCAACAAGCATTGATTCCTACAACCAAGGTAAAAGGAGCGGGGCCAATGAAAAGACAATTACCGGAGAAAGTCTGAAATCCATTCCTGGAGAAAAGGAAATGTGAGATTCTGAATCAACAGAAGCCCCAAGAAACTAATGACCTATTTCTAAGGTAGGAGCTACTGACACAAGCACCAGCTTCAGAGAAGAGCCTTAGGAGGACAACACCTCTGAAAGATCTTGGTGTGCATTAGGGTAACAGGAGGAGATGCAAATCCCAAACAACTTTGCTGACAACTGATTTTGCCACAGGAAGTTGCTCACTAGAGGATGGCTTTTGCTGTCCACCAGCTACCACTGTTTCTCCATGACTCGCAGATTCTCTCGAGACCTCACCTGCAGTGCATCACTGCCCACTTTGGTAATATGGCAAAGACTGAAATTTCCACCTATAGCAAGAAACAGCTTTCCTAAAATGATTAGCTTGGGACTCTTGAATAATCCTGACACATTAACTACCAGTCAAAACAAAGTGCAGTATTGAAGTTTGTACTGGGAAATGTGCAAACACGACCTCTGGCTGGATTGGCTCGGTGCCAAAACCAAGCAAGGAAGGAGGTAAGTGAGGGTCCCTTTTAGACAAATTTTACCTTATTATTTCAATGTGGGAATTAGTACTATGCTATTTCAGGAGATGAGTAGGGAATACTGTTCTCTAAATATCATTTTACATACAGTAACCAAACACCGAATAGCCAAAAGGAAAGCTTAGCAACAAAACGGGCTATTACTTTGCAGAAATGCTACCTTCCAAGCAAGTTGTTTTAAACTAAGATCACTCGATATTCTGATTGCTTTGTACAATTATTTATACAAATAATACAACTGGGTTCTTTCTGTTGCATTTTAAAACCCAGCATGGGCTACCCACACATAAATGCTGTCTTCCTTTTTTTGGAGAGTGACCTGCAGAGCCCCGCAGTGAGGACAGGATGATGCTCCTGCAGGAAAGCTGATAAAGTCCATCTGACCAAGGACAGAGTAGGTAGGGAGCTCTACACCTTGGAAAGCAAGAGTAGCTTGGTATAATGGCTTGCTATACGGCTTGCTATACAGCAGCCAATAGCTGCAAGGAACTAGCTGGACTAATGACCTGTATTGAGGACAACAATTTAAGAAATTTTTCATGGGAAGGAGCTCTGGATATTGAAGACTTTGGTTCAAATTTCTGCTCTGGATTAGACAAATAGAGGGGGTGACCTTAGTACTGCCACTGCTCAGGAGCCTTCCAGGAATCCAGTTTCTGTTATATTCTTTCCTGCTTTACGCTGTTCCACTTCATGTAAAAGACTTGAAATTTCATTCTCTCCATTCCAATAACTGTGTCAAGGTAAGTTCCCAGCTGAGACATCAGGGTTTTGTTGTCAATACAATGAATAAATATGTCTGTTTCACACAATTTGAAACCCCTTCAACAGGAATGACTGACAGAAATTCCTATAATATGCCCTAAAATGCCTACGACTGAGACATGCTATTGCCACGGTTACCCAGGCTCTAGTCCCTGCGCAGGTTCATGTAGAAAGGTGAGTGTAAACGCTGGATTAAATGCAGGCACTTCTCTCCCCAACAAATACCTTCTCAGCTATTCCAAAAGACTGCTCATCTCATCTCCTGCATTTTTCTCTCAACTTTTATTTATCCAAATCTATTAAAATTTGTGACCAGTTTCCAGTGAAACAACATGCTAATATTTTTAATTATGGAGCCAACTATGCTCCATAATGCAACTATAAGGAGATCACATAACTTTAAATTATTTTATTCCTAATTTACTCACTTGATGGGGACTCAAGTTCCTTTGTATCTTCCTCTTTTTCCTCTTCTTTGGATTCATCCAATTCTTTGCTATATTCCAGTGGGGACTGGTTCACTTGTTCTTCACTATGAGCATTCTGCTCATCCACAACTGCTTATTAAAAAAACAGACAGAAAGTTTCAAGATCTCTAAGGAAAATCTGCATAAATAGAAAATTAGCTTCTTTTTTTCTGTAGCTTTAAGTTTAAAAATATTAACAAAAGATTTCTATTGCCAATTCAGTGAAAAAGACTCCTACAATCCTTTGCCCATTGATAAAGATTCGCTGCCAGAAATTTTCGTTTTGTGGAGGATAATAGTTACAAAAGAAACACATTTTTATACGTACACACACGTGCATACATACGTATTCATATATGCGGGCAGACAGTCATCAACATCCAAACAAGCCGCATTTCTTTCCCCTGCAGCTTGTAATATGCATATAATTTATACATACATAAAAATGTAGAAATCAAGCTTTAATAATGAAAATTTATGCTAGTAAAGAAAAAAAGCTGCATCATTATTCTATCAGTAAGGATCAAAACATTGCTGATGTGCACCTTTTTCTGCTTGTTCAATGATCTGCCTCACAGCCTTCTTCAAGCTGTTTGCCCGGAGCATTAACTGTTCCCTTGGTTTGAAGAGTTTCTGGGTGGAAGACTTTGAGACACACTCCGCTAATTGCTCTTTACTTTCAGACAAGGATTCTTCACTTGAAAACTCCTCTGCTTCTTCTTCCACAATGGGGGGAGTGACGCCTGGGAGAATGGGAGCAGCCTGGGCTTCTGTGTGAAGAGCCTGGAGCAATAGGTCTAGCTTCTCATTTAACTCGGTGCACTAAGATGAAGTGGAAAAGAATACTTACACACCAGAAAAACAGTCAACATATGAACATTTTCAGGAAATTAAGCACCAGATTCTAGGGAGGGAGCTAAATTCTCCATGCGGTAGGATTTAAAATCGTCTGTGTCTAAGTGTCTATGTCATTGTCTATGTAAAATCCAAACCCAGGTTCAATATTTCATAATATCAGATTATGAGTAGGTCTGCATGGGTTTTCGCAGACTCTGTGACACCCAACCAGATTAGAGCAATTATAACAAAAAAACCCTACACTCAGACTAATATAACACAGTGTGCTAAACTCAGCCTGCCACGTAACTAGGGTACAGATTAGATCTTATTCTTTTTCTGATGGCCTGCAGCACAGAGCACAGATTTGCCCATACCATGCATTATAACAAATTATGGGTGCTCAGCACCCCAATTTGGAGAGATAACCTACGGGGACATGCCCAGCTGTTAGACTGAAAACACATGGTGGTTTGAGGAGGGGGGGGCGCGCATTTGCAACACAGCTGTACATTTAAGCAAGTAAGTTGTCACAGAGGAAAGAGGCCCAAGCCAGAACCAAACACTGTCAAACACGTCTACGCCTGACTGAGGAGTTGTTCTCTAGGTGCACTGGAAAAGAGGTGATTTTCTGTGCTTAAGGGAAAGGAAACCAACACTGTTTGGCCCTGGAACAGTAAAAAAAGAAAATTAATTTTCTAAAATGTGCACTGCATAGAAATGTAAACGAGGAACTGCCATTTAGCCAGTACATTTCCTGACTCCAGGATTGTTAGTGATTTTGTTTTCTTCTTTTATTTTCAGCTCATGTAAATTTTGTGCCTCATACCAAATGCTTCTGGTTTTTTTTCAATGCTTTTGCAACATGATCTCTACAATTTACAGTTTAAACCATTATTTTTAACACTGTAGTCTCTCTTCCCTTCATTCTCCCAGCATACTTTCTCTTCATTATCCCATTGTTTTCCCATAGCTAACTTAATCCTTTTCAGAGAAAAGTGGAACTCCTAATGCAGAGTATTTCCATTTGTCTCTATGGACGTTACCATGTACTTTATCCTTTCTGAAGGAAAAAAGTGTAAACAGAGTTTATAGAGATCTTACAGTTTAAAGACAGTTTGGAAATGACTGTTCTATGCACTAAGAAGAGAAGAATTTTAAAGTCACTGGTTGAAATTGAAGCCAAGCTGGGCATCCTGGAGAGGCTTAAAAATTAAACACCCATGAGCTACAATACAAAAACATAACTTTAAACCAGAAAATAGTCATTGTCTTACTTTAATGGCCATGGCATCAGCTTCCTCTGCATTTTCCATCGGTTTTTCATAAGTTTTCCCTATTTTGGCAACGAAGTCCTTTACAGTTTCACATAATATTCTTCAGATAAAAATAGGAGAGGGGAGAAATCAAATGAAATGAAATAGATCTGTTTTGAATATTAAATTATTATGGCAATTGGTTTATGTGCATACTGCTATAGACCATTCTTGTTGGAAACTGAACTCTGTGATCATACTTGCAAAGCAGATGATACTCTTTTCCATGGCTTGCCAAATTCAAGCGATAAGCTTTAAAACAAAAACTCTTCCTCCCTTTTTATTTAAGCCTTTGCACACATTGTATCTAAGTCTCATATTTCTAAGAACAGAAATAAACACGACTAATTTTATTCATTCCCTTGCTTGTACACCTTCCATACCAGAGTTGTTAGCAAACTTGCATTCACTTTGTTAACTTCAAACACCGTCTTGCAAACTCCCATATGAAGATGGAGCCTAGAAACCATGGAGAAAATCTGCTGACTTTAATGGAGCACTTCTTAGATGAAAACATACAGCCACACATGTCCCATTGCACCTCTCATGCTTTTGAACCACAGCAGACCCTGAGGCATATCTATACAAACTACAGTGGCTGCAATGAATTTACATTGTGTGAATCAGAGAAAGATTTGGTTCTTATTACCTACACTGCAGACAGACAGCAAACTTACTAACGAGGTGTGGATAATTGCTTAGTACTGTTCATTTGGTTGAAATTTATTTGACAGAAATTGAATAGATTTAACAAGATACAGACCCAATTTAGAATTTGGAGTTAATTTTCAACATGTGCTATGTACATTTTTAAAATGGAATTTTATTAACTTGCTTTTAGCAGAAAAAAAAAAGAGATCTAATGACATTCAGACGTATTTTTGAAGACTCTGTGACTGGTCTTTTACATATCACAAAATAGAAGGGTTTTTTTTCATGGAGAAGGTATACACAGAATACTTCTGATTTCAGATGATGTGCATGATTTGCCAAGTAATTATCTCTCATTTTTAAGTGTTTCAATTTGGGGGAAAAAACCTGTTGTCTGAGACCACTATTTATTGAACTGATACAGCCAGAGCTATGACAAAGCTACCTAGTCTGAAGTTTGCCTTCACATTGGTGAAGTTGTTTGTCCTCTTAAAGATATGGATATGTATAAAACAAAACACAAAAAATGTAATGTGAAGTAGATCACATATTTACTTTAGTAACAGTAAGTTTCATATTTAAGCTGCATGCTAATTTGGAGTGATTTAAAATAACCTTATATTAATATTATGTGATTTTTTTTTTTCATATGGTGATGCATTTAGAATTAAGCTATACATTACAATTGTACCATGCAAAAATTTTGCAGAAAAAACATCCACTATAAAATGTATAAATTAAGATATATTAAGTAAGCCAGGCCAGCCATAAGAAAATCAGGCTCACACAGAAGGTTATTATGGTGATGATGTTACACAGGGGATTTATCCCACACATTGTACATAAAAAGGATCAACTCACTTGGCAGATGATATGACAACTGAGTGCTGATCAGAATTGAGAATTTTTGCAAGATGAGCAGCAACTGAGTCCTCATAAGCAGATATCTGAAAACAGAGAAAAAAGACTTCAATTTCCAGACGTTTCAGCATTTTAACACCTACTAGTGATTTAAAACACCTCCAAAAATAGCAGGATTTCCATTTCAGATCTAATACAAGGACAGGCAGCTGGCAATGCAGATTCTACCTGCGTACTGTATTTTATGTACCAGATTTTTAAAATTCCAAGTAACACTGCATCTGAGAACTTGATCCACAGCTCTTTTCCTCCTGTAGAGAAAACAGTAAGTTATTTCTAGGCTAAAGATAGTCCATGAGGCCGAAAAAATCTACCTTCTTTTTAGATTTATAACAACCTAAATTATTACAATCTAATATCTTTTATTTCTAAAACAAGCAAACTTTCCCTCAAACTAAGCTGCTCAACTAAGAGTAAATCAATATTTTGCAGTTATAATACTGAATTTCCTTTTTACTGTCAGATGGGATCTTACTCCCCAAGTACACCTACTGACAAGGGCTGCTGAACTGGTATAATGTTATCAAAACCAATCCTTAAGGAGCAAACCACTTAGGCCTTAGTCTTTATGAGAATGTTTGGGAGAATGAAGGTGTGCGCTGTCCGTCTTTTCTTGCACAGAAGAGTTATAAATCTTGAAATACTCGGGCAAAGATTTGGAATGGATCAGATTCACATCTTCATGCACTATATACTGTCTTAAAATAGGCATGGATCCAGACCTCAGTTTTAAAAGAAAATTGTAACCAAATTCCAAATCTAAAGCTAAAAATAAATGCAGTTCTGAAATTTTCTGATGGTTTCCTTTAAGAATCTCTTAAAATCTCTTAGTGTGTTTTTGCCCTTGATATGGACCAGGTAGATATACCACTCTTTTTTCTTCCTAAAACCCAGCCTTAGTTGTAGAACTCTGACAGTACATCAGTTTTCATTTCAAGGGAAAAACAATATGTAACCATGTGATCTGTAAGAACGTTATTCAAACATCAGTATAAGACTTCTGGAAGCAAAACCAAGTGAAATAAGTCTCCTGAAACTGGAGGGGGAAAAAAAAAAAAAAGAAATGGATATGAACTTTTATTTATTTTTTGAATTGCGCTTTAATACATTACCTGCTCTAAGGTTAATCATTCTTTTTCTGAAATATCGTAACTCAATAAACTATGCAAAAAACAATAAAATAGAGATTCAACAGGGTACTCAAAAGAAAACGGCTTTCTCCAACCCAGAGTAATGGCAGGTAACTATAGCCTACAAAAATGATTTTCCAAAAAAGAGGTTTTGCATGAGCCGTTCCTTCCATTTTCAGGAGGGGCTAAACACAATTTCAAAGCCAGAACTAACTAGAACAAAATGTGTTTTTTTTCCTTTACCAGATGAAGGTACACTTGAAAATTTTAACTGTCTCGCAAAATTAGAGAAGATAAAGCCTTGGTCTGCATTGCTGACACTGGAAACAGAACTGTGTGCAAAGCAACCCCGTTAAAATCCCAGCCAGCAGAGCCCCACCTTTTCGCACCTCTATATCTAGCAAGCTGTCAAACATTATAATCTCCTTGCCAATTAAAACAGTCTGAATTATTAAAACACTCAAGAACCTGCTGATTAATCATTGCTTCTCAAGTACTTTTGAGCTAAAGTTGATATGCATTAACTTTCTTAGGAATATATTATTTTCTCATTTTTAGTCAGACTTTTCATGCCAATTAATTTGACTACAGCATCTCCCTCTCCCTCAAAATCGAAATCAGATAGTACAAGCACAAATCTAGTCTGAAAGACAGACTAAGCTTTTCTTTGAGGTCACTTATAATCTCGAGCTCTCTGGAAAAAAAGAAAGTTGGATGGCATCACCTGATCAAACTCACTTTTACAAGCTGCAAAAAGTTTCCTTCTTTCAGAATACAACCCTTGCCTTCGAAATATTGGTTTTTTTCAATGCATATTCCAAACTCAAGATAGCAAACGTTTTGCTTTTATATATACATTAAAAATGTATTTTCATATATTT